TGAGTCATGTACCCTGCGGTAAATTGCTGCGATGGTTGACCAAAGTGTGTGTACTACTCAACATTCGAGTGGCCTAATTGCTGTCCGTCAACTCTCGTAGCTGGTGGCATCGATTGAGTTCACCATGTCTGTTTAGTATGCGAGCGACAATTCTTGTAAACTCACGTGACCGGAAGATATCAATTGAGTTCACGCAGACACCTGCGAGTGATTGGAGTTGTTTTAGACACAATCACCGGGCACACTCAGTATATGGGGAATGAACTCTCGTAGCCTGAGAATCAACGATTGAGTGCGAAGGGGCACAAAAACGGTATTCTCCTGCTGATTATTATAGGATAACAGCATCAGAGTCCATGTACTCTGTTTTCGGAGATCGAACTCCAGCTCGGAAGTATAAATCAGCAACTCTAGCTCTCGAGAATAAACCAGCCACTCTAGCTCCCGAGTATAAACCAACTACTCTAATACCCGAGTATAACCCAGCCACTCGAGCTCCCGAGTATAAACCAGCCACTCGAGCTCTGGAGTATAAAACAGCGATATCTACTAGACAATTCCTTGGGCTCTGTTTGGAATCATCGGATTAACTGATTTGCACGGTTTCTGCTATTGACAGTTTTTCTCCGACACAGGTATAGTTCTATACTGTACTTGCCAGAACGCATATATAGTGTTACTACTGAACAGTTGTCTCAGGTATATAAAACGACGGGTTACTCGAGACGTACACCTCGGGTCCTCTAGCTCTCAGAGGTAAAATGCCAGCACACTGCTCTAGCTCTCGGGGATAATGCCAGCACACTGCTCTACCTCACGAGGATAATGCCAGCACACTGCTCTAGCTCTCGAGGATAATGCCAGCACACTGCTCTAGCTCTCGAGGATAATGCCAGCGGATCCCTCTTGTTCGCGGAGGTAAAATTAGCGTCCCAGATAGTTAGTATATCTTCATTCATGAAGCTCGCACACTTTCCGTGCTTCAGCTTGGGGGGGTTGTGGTCAGATATACGATTTAGGGTTATCAGGGCTTTTGTGGTTAGATATACGATTTTGGTTTATTAAGGTTTTATTTGTGGATCGGTCATAAACCCAGATTAGGGTTCTGATCCGAATACGCACATGCGCTAATTGACCAGATGTTAATCGAGTAAAGTTCAATAAATAGCCAACGGCTCACCTCTGATGAGGGGAGTACGTTGAGATATAGTTATTGACGCGTATTTACCACATTTTTAACTAACTGACAGAGTTTGGTTGTGAATTGAATATTGCGATGCGTATTTACCACATTCATACGAGTGTCATAAAAGTCGTTGAGCCACTTCTCCAGTAGGTAGTCTTCTGGAGTACGACGTAGGTTGTCAATGATTAATATGTTATAGTCCTCCATATCAGTGAAGTCTTGCCAAAGCTGTTTGGTACTACGTATATTGTTGAGTGCAGTGCGCGATACTTCAGTGGCATCTGTCTGTCTGAGTAATTCTTGTACTAGTGAGAGGTACTGTATCAATGGCATGTTTGTGCCCGCAAACAAGTCTTTGGCTACCGATACAAACTCAATTGTATCACAACTATCGGCCATGCTGATCTGTTTGCCGATTGACCACTTAGGGAACTCACTCATCTTGAGTAGTTTGTTCAGTTCTGGTTCTGAAGCTTTGTCCCCTTCGTGAGATCTAATTAGAGTTAACTCGCTCATAAAGCCACTGATCGCAATGCACTCATCGTGATCACTTTTGTCACAGTTCTTCATCGCTTTATTATATAGCTCTACTAACCAATCATCTATTACTGGTACTAAACGTTTGGGTTGTTGTTCATGTACTGCTTTGCGCAGTTTGTGAAACGCTCTGATGTCAATGGGGTCGTCCGCTGTTTGTGCGTACAACTTGTCTACTAGTATGTCTACTATGTAGTAGTTGCTGTCATAGATAGTCTTATCTAAGACTATGTGGTACTTACTCATCGTTGGATCCATTGGAGCTCTTGCTGGTGTGGACTCATCGTCCATCTGCATTACCCTCTCCCCATTGTGTGGGGTAGATGTGCGTGAAGATGTTTGCGAGACCGACATTGTGCTTGTTGCTACTGGTCTTATGTTGGCAGTGCGACTTGTGATCCCTCGGGTGTGTGTCCAGCTTGAGCTTACTTGTATACGTAGGCTCCTTCGTGCTGCGCGTGTTCGTTGGTATGGTGCAGACGTCATTGACTGTTCTGCGTGTGGGGACTGGTTAGGATGTATTTGTAGTGCATCAGTAACCATTGTTTTCTTTGTGTATTTGTGCATTGGTGGAATCAGTTTGTTGATTACCTGTATATGCGTCCCCGTATGGCGTGTGGTGGCTGTGCTGATTGCAGGGCCTTGTGCTGGTGTGGCTTGAATTGCTCGTGTTCGAATTACCTGGGTTTATTTGGAGAGTGTTTGGCTTGAGACGATAAACCTGGGTTTGATGGTTTATCGGTTGTAAACCTGGTTTCTCTTGTAACTTGGTTTCTGGAATTATAAACCTGTAATTCAGTTTTATAAGTTTTTGTTATATTTTCTGTTTTATTTGAGTCTCGGTGGTGTTCCGAACTTCTTGTGATTTATGACTTTGAATTTTTCAGAAGAAATATGATTTTATCTGCCTTCTATGTTCGTATACAATTTCAGTTTAAGTGTACCTTTGTGATACCCTTTTGTATACGTGTAGTATTCCTTGTACCCCCTTTTCTTTGTATATCTGATGTTTGTTGGTTTCTTATGTGTCGTTGGATGTACTGCTATGCTGTGCATGCTTGTGTAGGCCTTGCGATTGTGTGTACATATTTATGATTCTTGGCTATGTGAATTGCCATCAATTGTTGGTGGTTATATTTGTTCTCACCTGTGTTATTCGTGCGGGCATATGTGCCGTGTATTCGTATCACTTCTCACGTGTTGAGTTTGTATTATGCATGTCCTTAATTCGGTGTACGATGGTTTCTTCTTAATACATGTCTAGGTTGTGGACCACGTGAATGTTTTAGTGATGTGCTTGTGAATTGCTTCAATGGTGTGTTTGTTAAGAGCTTCTTGTCTCGGGCAGTGTTTCTGCGACTAATATTGTTTTAACTGTCTTGTCCTTAATGAATTGGTTGTCCACTTTTAGTGGTAACGGGTCTAATTCCTTGTGGTTTCCCTTGTATTTTCACTTAGCGTCGGTGTTGTACCTTCATATCACGTCGAGTCTGTCTTTGTAGTTGAGATTTGTTATTATCTTATAGGTGGTGTGCCTATGGACTGTTACTGTTTAGGTGATGTTCCTAGGTGTGCTGTGATTTTGTGATCTTCTTATTCGATTTCGATTCAGATTAGGCTTGTGTGATGTGCGAATCTGACTGTTTTCCCTGTAAATGTGTAAGATATTCTTGTTCTTTTCTGTATCGCCTTGACACCGTTGTCCATTAGTTTCAATAAGCTCCGTACTGATGTGTAGTGCTTGTCTTATCTCTATGGTGTTGGAATGAGATCAGCTATTTAAGATTGAGTTGCGCACGCGTATGCTTCCCTTGCTCTGGGTTGTATTATCCTTTATCTAGCCTGTGTAAGTTACATATGTGTTTACCACTTCTTAGTATTTTCAGGCCTCCTTGTACTTACCTGGTTATAACTATTAACCATCTATTTTTAGTGATTGTGATCACTTGTGTAGATCACTTGTGTAGATCTGATTTGTTCGTGCTCTAATCTTATTGTTGTGGAGTTCTTAACTGTTACGATACAACGTGGTTTTAGTTATTATTCTACCCCGTTTGTCCTGCATAATATTACTTGTGCGATTTCAAGTTGATATTCTGTTTACGGGTGATTTGATGTCATTTATTTGAGTGATTTGGTCTGTATATATGAATATACAATTATTGCTCGTGTCTGTATACACAACACCACTCTGTTGATTCTTTAAGCATGTGAATATTGTTACTCTTGGTGTTTGTTTAGGTGAGGTTCATTAGTCTTGTGTGATTTCACTGATTATACTTTTCTTTCTGTGTTTAGTGCCTTTTGCTCTTGTGTGCAGTGTGCTTATTCTTCACGTGTATTGTACAAGTTCTTATTGGTGATGTTCAGGTGTTTGTTTTGTGTGTTGGGGTGAGGTTCTTTAGCCTTGTGTGGTTTCACTGATTTAGACTTTTACCTTATCTTTAAACCTAATGTTGGTGGTCAATATTTGTGGAACGTGTGTACGTGCGCGTCTTGTGTGTTATTTTCTAGACCCCCTTTTTGTACTGTCCTTCTTGTATGACTCACTATCGTTTCTTTTCCCAACATTGATAAATAAATCACCTTGACACTTTTCAATTTTTCAGAACTTCTGTTCACCTAATATGAATATAAAACACGTTATGGTTTCACACAGTCACTTTGGTTGAAGGTCTTCACTTGCTCTGTTACAAGGGGGAAGCTGCGTCTTCTCTTCTCCTCGAACTAACTGGTCCTGCCGGTTCTCCTTGTTATCTTGTCTGAAGTTCCTTCTCAGCAGTGGGGAGCCTTCCGTCTTTCTTTCTTGGGCCCCTCGTAGTTCTTCTTATTCCAACTTCTAATAAAGTTTTGCTAAGCCCACTTTGGCACTTATCTTTCTCAGAGCCTTATGGTTAATGATTCTTCCTTAGCTGACCGACCTACCGTGGTAAGGATATTGTTAAAAATGTAGAGTTTGAGAGTGGCTGATAAGATACGACCAGAAGAAACAATAGACCTCTTCTCAAGTGCGAATCCTACAGCTAGGTAAAGTCTTGGCTAAAGGACTCGCTTTGAGTTGAGTCTTTATTTGGGTTTAGTTTTTTTCTACACTAGACTCAATATTTACTTAAGTGCTTCTCTCACACGCGGGAGTCCCCGTATCATATACCGATAGTCCCGCTATATTTCTGATCACTCTATCATCAGAATTATTGGATCCTAGATCCAAAACTTAGTATTTGATAGTCCTGGGGTTTGGGTTTAGGATTGGCTTTTCTGATAATCTGGCCCCTGGATGCTACACCCTGAGCGTCGCAAAGAAGATGGTATTGACCGACGTGGAACTAAGCGTCGTCAATCTAATCCGGACCGCTCCGGCCCACACCCAGGACAGGCTCTGGAGGGGCAACAACAGGCACGTCTAGAGGTTCTCCACCCTGTTTCCGCTAACGACAAGCAGTCATCAACGGCACACAGAGATGAACATGTCCATTCAGGAAACGACATTGTTTTCGAGGGTGAGACCAAGGGAGTTCCCGACCTGCGTGCGGACCGGAGTCAGACCACTACTGGTGAATATGTAGCCAGTAATGGTCTGTCCACCCGTTCGTCTTCGGGTACTTCAGGGGCCTTATCCTCCAGCAATGACCAACCGCGCCTTCCACCTAACAAACGTAGACGCTACCGTCATCGCTTCAACAACAAAGACACGGTAAGAGACCGATCATCCGCTCAGAAACTTGCCGAGCTAATGGCGCAACAGCAGTCACTTTTAGAGAAGTATGAACAGAGGTTACAGCGCACAACGGCCGAGCGGCCTACAACACGGTTGGCTGCCACTGAGACAGCTACTGGCACACACGAACGGGTGCATACGTCGCTAGGAAGTGAGGACAACCTTACATTCCGTATTCAAGGTCATACACGTCCGCGCCATGGACTCGGGTACGAATCACCTGGGTCAGAGGAACGGTCGACCGAGGGGGGGGAGACTCTGTCTTATATTGAGGACACATCATATTTCCAGGAGTTCGCACGGGAACAGGTATTAGCCAAGCAGAACCCTCACGTGAGCGAGGCGCTGAAGAACATGCAGGATCGATTAATTACGAACTTTCGCCAACAACAGCGACGACAGTCGTTAGAGAAGGAAGTAGCCAGTGAGTATGTGCAGACACCCAAGCCGCAGGAGATGGATATACCTATGCCTCCGCCCACACCGGCTAGTATAGAGAAAAACCGACAAGCACTACATGCACGGATACTACATTTGAACGATGAACTATGCCAAGCAATCGAGGATAATAATACGGCTCGTGCTGAGGCTCTTAGGGGTGCGATCGAAACGCTTCGAGCTACGCTAGAGTCCCGTTCAGTGGAAAAGCGTCCTGTACTATCACCACGTACATGGCCCGATTGGTCTTCGAATAAATACCACCTACACGACATCATGGAACAGGATACGAGAGGGGCTCTCCTTGAGGTGTTTAAGAACGCGCAAATCGCAGGATTAGATGATAGTTGGAGCCTTACATGGTTCCACAAGGTATTATCCTACTTTAAGGCGGAGAAGTCAACATTGGATTACATACGCGACAACTCGGAACGATTGAAGATGTGGACGCCACAACTACAAATCGAACAGATCTGCCCGCATGAGACACAAGCCACTGTCGATCCCGCGTTTTGTAAGTGGCTAAGGGCCACAGTCGGAACATGCATACCCCTATCATGGAACAAATGACACAGCTCATGAAGAACCATAGGAGCGCACGTGAACGGTGCCAGACGGATGCAGACTTCCAACAGAACTTATTAAACCATACTTCCTTTTAGTCTATCTTATCTCTATCCGTCTACCTGACTCCCTTTTAGTAGGACTCTAGTACCTAATTATCCACATTAGCCCTATTTATCTAATCATCCTGGTGGCCTGGTATATCGTACCTTAAGAGGCCCTCTTATACATAGACACTCAGATACTTGAATCAGAGGGTCACGGATATATATTAGAGTTCCGCAGGGGCCCCTGTATCTCTATCCCATAGGCTAATGGTACTCAGGTTAATGTTCATCGTACAACTGTTAGAGGAAGCTCTCAACGGCCGAACGTATGAGCGTACTCTACAGTTGCATCCCAAATGGCAGTTGATGAAGACACACGAGCTTCTGCAGCTGCCGAGCCCCGATATTCAGGACGCACAGCAGCGCACCACGGCGCGACTCCAGAACCGTAACAATCGCGAGGGTCTACCGAACAACGGGGTCGGTGTGGTCAGAACACAAGTACATAGGTTTTGGTTGTTTATTTTAGTTATTATAGTTTTTTTTACAGGTTATCAGTATAATCTGATAAACTTGGTTTTTACTGACCTTTACAGCACATGACTGATGACTCATTATTAGTCATTAATTTTACAAATATTAATAAATGAACAACGTCTCCCTCTCCAAGGAGGAAGAACATTGCGATACATTTATTGAAGCGTTCGTTTACCACATCGGGACTACACTAATAGGCGCCCTATTCCGCAGACGGGTCGACGACAGTCGCAGTACTGGTCTCAGCGACCCCAACCGTCACTACTTACGACTTGTGCTGGATGCCAGGCAAATGCACCACCAGCTTCACGTCACATTCCGGGATGTCAGCATTTCCGTGTATCGCAACCAGGGGGTAGGGATGGTCGAGTGCGGCTATACGACAACAACCGCACATCAAGAGACGCGGCACACAGACCGACCACAGCTTCAACCTCAGGACAGGGGCAGAACACCACCCAGAGTAGAGAATTGATAACTACGCGTCCCAATCATCAAGTACAGGTGAATGCGATTACACAGGACGATGGCCTGGTACCACCATCCGAAGCTACAGAGGTACACATCAATACGATACTCACGGAAGACTTCGAGCACACGGCACCGGAACCAGACCAGGTCCACGAAGTATGGGAGTCCGTCACCGAACGAGCATGAGACGTGAGGGTGTCTGAGTCGGATATTAGCTTCACATTTGTTAACACTATTAGGGCGGTGATGTCGATACAGGACCCATTGCTTTCTTCTGATAACCGAGTTTATATTCAAGTGCAAGTTAGCGGACGCACGTTCAAAGCATTGATAGACACGGGAGCAAACATAATTTGTATTTCACAGACATCTGCAGATCTCCTCGGCCAACAAATATCACCAGCACCACCTGGGTCATTCATCTATTTAGCTGACAAGGCGGTTCGGACTCCTCGACTGGGAACGACAGAAGTGGTACCCATTCGGTATGGCACCAAGATTATCACATAGACTTCATTGTGGGGCAAGATATGTTGAAAGGTTTGGGTCTCTACATAGGTGGTATACATTCGCCACTAGCATCGATAGACCCCACAGAACTGGAAGAGCTCCTCGAACCCATCCCACGCCGACAGGCACCGAATACGACAGAACCCGCCGATGCACGCCAACGTCTGGCACAGGATTTAGAGGCGAATGCGTTGATTGCTGACAACGCGCGATGTCGTTTGGAAGGAAGTGAAGTTACCATTCCGGTAACCCGTGAACAGGCGATGCACATGCGCAGATCGACACGTAACTTTGTATCCGACCGATGGCTACCCTACGTGGACGTACAAGTGAAGAAGTGGTTGGCGGATTTGGTGATCACGAAACGGACGACACAGACTACCGTCAATCTCCATCTTCTTGCGGTCCCGACGTTCGATGCAGAAGGAAACGTGAAGAAGGTGCGGGTGTGTTTAGACATGCGCGCTGTTAATGCGCTGATCCCCGGTGACCAGTTTTTGATTCCAAAGGTCAACGAAATTATCTCTCGCCTCAAGAGTAAGAAATACTACACTACACGGAACATCTCTGTCGCATACCACAGACTGCCGATCCATCCAGATTCACAATATTTGTTTAGCTTTACACACGAGCGTTATCAGTACTCGTTTACATCAGCGCCGTTCGGACTCCATGTGCTCACGCAACAGTTCCAGCGTACCTTGAGCACGATACTTGTCTTTTTACCTGTCCGCCACTATATCGACGGCATCCTTATCGCTAGCGACGACTATGACGAACACATTAAGACGGTGCAGAAAGTGATTCGACGCTTGACTTACCACAGTTTTAAGCTTAACCCCGCCACGTGCCATTTTGCTATTCCTGAAGTGATGATCCTCGGGAAGAAGGTGTCGGCACAAGGCATAGACATTGATCATGAGGAGCAGGTCAAGCTTATCGACTGGCCTACCCCGCTTCGGTACAAGGAAATAGCCTCCGCCTTAGGTTTGGCGAACTACCTTCATGAGCATCTCCCCCACTTCGCGAATACGGTCGCACCTTTGCGCGAATTTTGCAAACTCAAACCGAAGGAGTTGATCGGCGATCGTTGGGAGGAGCGACATGCACAGGCGTGGCAGCAATGAAAAATACAGTTGTTATTGCAGTAGCGTTGTACTTCCCGGTAGACGGTATACCATTGAACTTGGAAACCAACGCTAGCGATTACGGTTTGGGGGGAGCGTTATTCCAATGGGTCAACGGAAAGAAACACTATTTGATATTCTTTAGAAAGACTCTGAACCATGCGCAACAGAACTACGCTACACCAATAAAGGAGCTACTCGCTTTGGTGTATGGCCTTACACATTTTAGGGAGCGCTTGGATGGGCAACGGCTTGCAGTCGTTACGGACCACAAGGCCCTCGTGTATATGAATTTACAGCTCAAGCTTAATCCGATGCTCCAGAGATGGCACCACATAACCACTTCGTTCAACTTTACCATATCACATATACCAGGAGAGACGAACGTGCTTCCGGATATGTTGAGCATAGTATACGAAGGGACAGCAGAGCAAGATGAACCTGAAATACTGTACACAGATTGTTGGCAGCTATTTCCGAGCTATTTTGAACAAGCACAACAGCACTTCGGTCCGAATAATTTAGACGTATTTGCGGAGCCAACTAACGCTCAGCTCTCTCGATTTTGGACTAACGACGATGGGGAAGGGGCGTTTGCCCACGACTGGTCGACGGTCGATGGATGGATGAACCCACCTTGGGAGAAGATACACAGAATGTTGCGCAGGATAAGGACGGATGGTGCAACGGCGATTGTGTGTCTACCATGGGTACCAAGGGCACCATGGTCTGACTTGCTCAAGCAGTTGTTGCAGTCAGAACCGGTGCTGGTTCCACGAACGCCACACACATTCCTCAAGTATGCTAAGTACGCCTGTGGCAAGACACCATGGGGTCACAGTGATTGCACAGGTGGGGCCTCCTAACGGGTTCACACTGGACCCGCTGTTTTCACAGCGTCTTGGGTATGCAGAACCCAAACACACGGCGGACGTGATGTGTTTGGATACGGCACGAGAAATCTCCGTGGCGATGGCAGACGCAGAAAGTCAACCGGCGTTTGAGCGAGCGACACTAGAAGAACAACAGCGCCGAACGCGACTCACGCATGCTCACCACGAACAAGGACATCATGGAGTGGCCGATACAGTTCAACAACTACGACATAGCGGCCATGTGTGGCCGGGCGCACGTGAATTGGCAACGGAAGTCAAACGGCAGTGCGCTACATGTCTGGGACAGGATACGCTACGTAAAGGCTTTCACCCGATGACTAGCATTGACGCGCGCTACCCGTGGGACCATATTCAAGTTGATTACATCCCGATGCCACTGGAGTCCAGAAGGAAGAACAATTATGTACTTCACGTCCTGGACATCGCTACAGGCTACTCAATCCTTTGCGCAACACCGGTGTAGTAAGTATACGCTAGATAACTGTATCTCAACGTTCTCCCTCCTCAGGGAGGGGGACGTTGTTCATTTATTAATAATTATAAACAGTAATCCTAAAATGACTGACTCTTAAAATGAGTCATTAGTCATGTGCTGTAAAACCAGCAAAACCCTAAAACCCAGTTTATCAGATTATTCTGATAAACTGTAAAACTTGTAATAAACCTAAAATAATCAAATAAATCTAAGTACTTATATTCTGACCACC